GAATATTGATGTTTCTTCCTTTTTCAAATGCTGGGCTGAGGTTTTCTATGATGAAAATATATTGGCTACATTGAGCAATTTAAGATTCAGAAGCTGAAGTCATTGCACCTCCCCTCCCCTCGCCCCATTAAATTCATGTTCTATTCTCTGGCAGCTGTTTTTGCCATTTATGTTAAAAGCAGATGGAGAAAATGCAAAGAACTGTCAGTTTTATTGCCATGTATAATCAGCATCTGGGCTGTATGTTTCAGACACAATCAATCTAAATTCATATTTTACTGGGTTTGTAAAAACTTTCTGAGCTTCTAAGACAGTCTTCAAATTATAGAAAGTGTTATAGTTTAATCATGTTGATCATAGAAATTAGAAATAGTGTGTATTGTAAGTACATGTGTACATGTTTAATATATAGTTATCTGCAAAATTGTACTTCTAATTCGTTTAAAAATATTTGTTTGGAACCACACATATTTATTTCACATTAGAGAACAAATCACGAAATAGCTTTTTTCTTTTATGTAAGAGTATGTGTTGCTAATATATGTTGTAGATATTTTAATCATATAATGCTATATATTATGTATATTTATATATAAATACACATATTCTCAAATTTTAATTATTTTACTAATTTTATGGTGAAAAATGCCATGTATTTTTTTACATCTCATGTACTTTTTACCAAAACATTATGGTAAACTCTGTTTTCTCCATATTTCACAAAGAGATGCCAAAATAGAGAGAAAGAAAAAAGCTTTTATAACTAATCAATGACAGGTTCAGAATTAATCCAAGTCTACATAAGTCCAAATCTTATACTTCTAATCATTAAAGAAAATAAGTTAAAAATTTACATGTAAACACATATAAAAAGCATTTAAAGAGGTATTAAGAAGCACTGTGGAAGATTTAGCATGTAAACTCTATTTTTTTTCAGTTTCTCAAAATAGTTTGAATTGAAAATAATGTGTAAGAATTTAATGCTGTGACCTGAGAGTATAATTTAAAATAGAATAATGTTGTTTAATATCTTATAATAATTTTTAGAATTAGTTTGGGATTTTTTAAAATTGCCCACTCATAGTATGTGTCTATGCCTTACTGGTGTGAGATCTGCTCACTAATAGCCACTATAGAGAACTTTATAAGCCACAGAAAACTTCAGTCCACATGTGGCCGAATTGGAATTCACTGGGTTGAACAATGTACCTGCTGTGTTCCCAGGATTAAAGCAGAGGGATAGTACATGATTTTCCATTGTTTATAATCTTTGAAATACAACTAGAAAGTGCTGTATTGAAATTGCTTCTCATTCTTTAGGAACTGTAAATGTACAAAATTGTTACTATAAAATAACAAGAATTAAAGAGCAAGAGAGAAAAATATATGGATGGGAAAGGGGAAGGACATACATAACACATATGAGGTTTTTTTAATGAAGTAATTAGAAAACTGTCTTCGCTTTCTCATCTCATTGAGAATGCAACTAAAATTTCCTTCTAATTTTGATGAAGCTCTAACAGTCATTGCATTGATTTTATATAGACAGTATATAAACATATAAGTAAATTATTATGCATATATGTATACAATGATAAAATATTTTTAATTTGATGACATAAATTCTTAAACAAAGAGGTTCTGATCACATTGACATGAAAAAGTCTTCTTTGTAGTATCAATACATGGAAGTTCCTCTTATTCACTTGCTAAATCTATTTTTACTTTCAAAATCAAAATACTGTCTTTTCTCCAAAGAATTGGCATTTGGAAGGCTTTAAATTGGGTGGGGGGCAGGCTTCATCCTCAGCATGCAAATATATCTTAGCCATTATACTATCTGTTTTTGTAACCCTGGAATGCTTTTAATTAGATTCTTCATGGAACAATGGATTCAAATTTGCACTCTCTAAAATTCAGCAGATTTTTGCCATTAAAGCAGAAGATTAGAGGATAGCAAAACTAGCTCTGCTTTTTTTTTTTTTACCTTAACCCAAAACTTGAATGTTTCTTATTTTTTATATTAAACACTTTCCTCTCTTTTATTGTAGGGTGATGAGTGTTATTTATAGTTTACAAAATATATTCTAAAGTTCTCATAATGAGAAAGAAAAATACTTTATTCTAAAATCCTTAAAGTTTTTCTTAAAGAAGAGACAACAGGCATTTTGCAATTTTTAAAATTTGTTTGACATCTGTCATTAGTAGTATATTTTCCTACTTGAGAATCTTTCTCTTGGAATGAAGCATGCAATTATGTTTTTTTTTTTTTCCTTAATGGACTGCTGAGACAGTGTAATAAAAAAACAATTAGCTGCTGAGTCAGTTTAAATAACAGTATAAGTTTTTCTTCAAATACTTTTCCTGAAAAAGTGTGAAAATAAATAGATAATAAAGAAAAGAAAGCAAATATATTGTACATGCCATCGCTTTGCTTTCTATTAGGTATATTGTAAGTGAAGCAATTTTCAACCTAAAGATGAAATCATGGTACATTGCAATGATACATACAGCAGTAATATATTATGTTTGAAGTGTTACTTTTGCATACTACTTCATTATACATTCTCTTTGTTTTATAGCATTTTCAGTATGCATTTTCTATAAAAACTGGCCGTACTCATCATATATATATATATATATATATATATATATATAAATATATTAACAATCAAACACACATTATTTATTTGTTTTGTTTGTTACTTTAATAGGGATATATATCAATATAATTAACTAAGTTAAACATAAATTATTGTAACAACATGTATTTAATTGCCAATAGAATAATGATTGAGTGGTCATTAAAATTCTGCTATGGTCAGAGACTGTAACATAATAAATGCCTTTTAAATTTTCCAAGAAAGACCTGGAGTCATATTAAATGGTAGTATTAGTATTAGCTTGTCCATATCTGTGAATTCAGGATATTTACATTTCAGAAGTCTCAGTACTGAATGTAGCATTTTGAAACAAAAACTTGTATTGAAGAATCATCTTTGAAATCTAACTGAAAATTTAGACTCTTTATCAATAAAACCTCCATGATGATCTGAATATGTCTGCTTTTGATCTGGGTTTCCAGTTATACAAGAAACACCAATTATTTGTAGGGTTAGAGAATGAATGAAGGACAATTATCAGTGGTTTTTTTTTTTTAAGATTATTTTCAAGGATCTGAAATGGTATTTATAAAAAGTAACTGTGCAATCAAATTATATATTGCTTTTAAAGAAATCTACTACTCACTAAGAGGTCATAATTTTTCCTCATGATAGCACTGTGTTATTGTGAACAGATCTTTAACACATTGATATGAAGTTTCATGGGCTGAGATTCAGAGAAAGTCTCTTGGTCAACTGTATTCCATCTAGATCTTATGCTCTTTGTATTTTTATTGATTAAGTTTTAAACTTCTTAAAATTTAACTATAAGAATGGATCAAGGCAAAAAAAAAAAAAAGCTTCTCTAAACCATCTATTTAAGACATACTAATCAATAATGGAATAGTGAAATGATTTAGACACTCTTTGCTATATTTAAAGCTTTAGAAAAATGTCCTCTTTCTTAAGATCCAGATAAATAATGCAGATGCCAATCCATATTTTCTTCAGATGATTGTTTTCTTGTCTCCTGAGGTAAATTTGCCCCTTGAGATGTAACAACCTGTTGAGCAGAAAAAAAAAATGCATGTAAAATAATATTTAAATGCACACATATATACACAAAATAAATATGTATCCATATTTATTTTTATTTATGTGTATGTAAATATATATTTTTAATCCAGGCAAGAGAATATAGGATGTGTCAGGTCGTTCAAGAGGAGGATTTAATATAGGGAATAGGTTCAAGAGTTGTACACGGGTGACGCAGGGAAAAAAAATTCCCAAGACCATAAAGACCAAAGAAGAAGGTAGTGTTAACAAGTTAGGAGGTGAGTGCGGCAGGAGCTGAAATTAAGAAGAAGAGGAGGTGAGTGCTGTGAGTTTTCTTAGAGGAATGCAGGAATTCTTAGGCTTTTGTCCCCCACCCTTCACTCTTCCACTAGTGCCTACCACATGCTAAATGTCATGGAAGGCCAGTTGGCCAGTGAACCTGGGCTGTGTGGTTCACTGCAGTGAGCACAACAGAAGAGACAAAGAGGATGGGAAATGTGTTGAGGATGTTTATATGGAAGGAATGAGGTTAAGAGGAAACATCATTTGATAAAAAATATTTACCAAGTGACTTAATGAAATCATGTTGGTGTCTTTCATAACTAGATGCATAAATTCTTAGCTTTCTGTGATAGTAAGATCATAGAGTAGAAGATACCACAGAGCTATTTTCAAATCTGTAATTTTAGTGTATCATAAAAATTCTTTGGTTGTGTTTCAATGCACATTGCTGCCTTGGTTTTTATGTGAATTTTTCACATAATGAATCGACCAGAGTCCAAATTGTCTCACTGAAAATGTCTATAGCATTTACGGGTTTAAAATTTAAATTGTTGCCTCCTAAATAGCTTCAAAGTTACTTTTGTGACTATAACAATTTTTTCAACCTATAATTTTATTTTTTTTGGTATGGAAACAGGGGGTTTATAAAATTTAATATTCAACCATAACTTATTTTGTGGAAGAGTTATGCTTATCTCTAAAGGTATATCATATACATATGATATATATAACTGCGTATTTCTCTTATATGTATGTCATTAAAATGTCCCCCATGCTCGTTTCGTAAAATTGCTTCCTTTTTTATATAGAATCCAGTTACAAATGATAACCTGTGATGCCTAAAAATTTGAATAGTTTTATTATTTTTTAAATTGTCTTATTTTTAATTTTAATCTTGTTCCACATTTAGGAGATAGCACAAATAATTTTAGAGGAAAAAAGAAAATGTCCTCAAGAAAAGCACTTTTAGTGCTTTACCTCTTGGCATGGATCCTGAGCTTGATGTAACATATCTGAAAGTTCATGTTTCCATTTAAAAATTGGGTTTTTTCATTGCAGACGTTTGGAACAGAACTCAATCAAGGTCATTCCTCCTGGAGCATTCTCACCATATAAAAAACTTAGAAGAATGTAAGTGGACAATATTGTAGAACAAATATAATCATTAAAATGATGCAAGTCATGACCATGCAAGAAAATCAATGTATGAATATTGGATTGTTTGACAACTTAAATATTAAGTGATGTAATCTTCTGATTGCTAGTCCAATAATAACATTTTGAACTCAAATAAGTAGACCATGTAATTTTAAAATTCTAGGTCATCTAGCATATTGATTTACACAAGTGTGAATGTATGCTGATAGTATGCAAATTCTTAGATGCTTTATTATCAAAATAAGACTTGGAATTCATAATGACAATTTAAGCAAATAGCAGATGGTTGGTTAGAAAAGGTTATTGTCTTTGAATTCAGAATTCTTGTCGTTTAATATTGCAAACTTTATACATGCAATGATAGGTGCAAACTAACATACAAAAAACATAAATAGCCTTCTCCTACAGTAAACCTCACTGACATCTGTTTAATTTAACCTAACCTCATTTCTGATCTTAGTGACCTGAGCAATAATCAGATCTCTGAACTTGCACCTGATGCTTTCCAAGGACTGCGTTCTCTGAATTCACTGTAAGTATAGATGGCTTTGTTGAGAGAAGCAGAACCTACAAAAAAATGGTTGCATTTTTTAAATTTAGGCATAAGACAAAAATACTATCTTAAATTTTTGTGATTAATTATTAATGATTAATACTATTATTATTAATATTTCATCATTTTTATTGAGAACTTCCCCCGTCATTAAAATTAGCCCATTTTGGGGATAACTTATAGTTTGATAATTTGCTAACAAAACAAGAGTAAAGTGCTCCTTTTTTGGACAACTTTATTCTCTCAAAAATAAAGGGGAAAATATTTATTTTGAAGGAACTACTGTATTTGTGGTCTCTGAACATTTAGGCTCTGTTGCTAGGTTATTGCTCCTTTTAGATGATGCTCAATGTCTTGCTGAGAAAGGGGTAAGGGGATGACCAGAGAGAGCTGCCCTCCTCTCCTGCTGTATCACCTTCAGGTTTCCCCGAAAGAAGGAATTTTAATCTCTAAAAGAACAAAGATAAGAAAGAATTGGGGCTTGTTAATGTCAAGCAGACTTTCAGGGAGATAACCATGCAAATTAAAGATGATCTAAAATAAATTCATAAATATGCTATTCCTTCAAACTGGTAAAAGCTTTTAGAAGTCCAGCAAGTAAAATAACCTTTCTATCAAAGTCTAGTTTCCAAGTGGAGGCTGGCTTGCTTCCTATTGTTGAGTATGTGCTTAGAGAAGGGGTCTCACTGATGTAAATTACTGCCAACCAGTTCAGAACTTCAAGAGTAAGGGGGAACCAGTTTCAATACCATGACACATTGTGCAAGTCCCAGAAGAACACCTCAAGTTGGTGGAACACTTTCCTCTCTCTGATAGCAATGGGAGAGAAGACAGGCTCATCTGGGCACATGGATGTTCAGGATGTTGTTCTGCCCAGAAAGCTGCAGTTTTCTTGGCAAAAAGAACATGGAAAACTTCTCAGATTCATTTGTGTTCCTTTTATGACATTTGGAGATTTGGTTAGAGGAAGCCCAAGATGAGAGGAATAGTAGTTGACAGAAAATACAAAGTATAGTCGTGTACTGCTCTCAGGGTGGGCTGGCAGGTTATTAAATAAAAAATTTAATTATAAAACTCAATCAGTCAGATTGTCCAAAGAGAGCTGTGTACCTAGTAAGCAATACTACCCCCAGCCATGGGGAAGGACAGAACAAAGTCAAATGGCTGTAATGGTTCCTGGTCCTTCAAGTATCTGTGCTTCAAAGACAACCATTAAATGTCAAGAAGGAGACTAACCAGTGGAGAATTCTTATTTCTATCTGTTTTCTTGCAGAGTTTACTCCTAAACTTTATTGCCTTAATAATATTTCCTCTTTTCACATTTGTTTAACCCCTTGCCAACTATCATTGTTCACTTTTGTCTCCCAAATTCTTTAGGGGTCCATGTGTAAGATGTTTGATTGCTATATTTACATTTCCTACAGTCTTTTCCTGGATTAATGTTAAGGGTTCTGACCAGCATCTTGCATTTCCTTATTTGAGATTCTATGAAAACGTAAATGTAGTATCTTAATTTTATCTTCTGCCTTCTCTTTACTGTACTCTTTTAAAGTTGCATAATATTATACTTTTCAAACATATATATCATTGTTTTTAATTTATAAGTATAGCACTCTTTTTTTATTGGTGCACCACAATTATACATGATACTGGGTTTTATCATGCCAATATTCAAACAGGCACGTAATATAACTTGATCAATCTCATCTCCCAGTACCTTCTCTTTCCATTTCCTCCTTCCTTCCCCTGATCTATTTGCTCTACTATACTGGATCTATCTTTATTATTGTTGTTACTATTATTTTTAGTGCATTATAATTACATATGCATATAATTAGGATACATGGACATAGCATAATATGGTAGATTTTTTTGTTTTCCAACACTTCCCCATGTTCTCTCCTCATCCCCCTTTCTCTGCTTTACTGGTCTCCCTTGAATTTTCCAGAGATCCTATTTTTTAACTCCCTTTCTTGTTTTTTTTCTCTAGCTTCCACATAGGAGAGAAAATCTTTGACTATCTGAGTCTGTTTTTTTTTTTTTTTCACTTAGCATGATGTTCTCCAGTTCCATCCATTTACCAGAAAATGATATGATTTCATTCTTCTTTATGGCTGAATAAAACATCATTGGGTATATATGCCACATTTTCTTTATCCATATTTTCTTTATCATGGTCTATTGATTAGCACCTATTTGGGGCCCATAACTTAGCTATTGTGAATTTTGCTGTTATGAACATTGGTATGCAAGTATCACTATAGTATGCTGATTTTGTTGTTTAGGATTAATACCAAGAGTGGGATCATAGGTTAGCTCTGTTCCTATGCTTCTGAGGAATCTCAAATTGGACCATAAATATTTTTTTCAGGAAAGGCAGTTTATAGATTTCTATGTTGGACATTTTTTTTTTCTCTTAAGTAGTTCTGTCTTCTGCCAGTTTTCAACAAGGCAGGAAAATACAGACTGGACAGGATCAATTGCTGTCTCCTGCTACCTTAATGTTTAAACCCATTAGTGTTTACCTGGGCCTAGCTTTCTAAATTTTCCTTCTAATAGCAGCTACAAAAGCAGCCCTAAGATTTCCCAATTGTTCCAAAGGACCATTGAAAAAAAATCTCTATCAGCATAGTTGTGCCTTACATGTAGTAACTTAATCTAAGCCATGCATAAAGAAACTAGAGAAGCTACCCAGGTGTTATTCTTTGCATTTGGATGTTATTATCCAAATCCCCTCACTTATTTTTTTTTTCAACTGAGATAAATTTCTATCTTTCGATTTATTTCTAAATTTTCTTTCCCTCTTTAAATTGTGGCACAATTTCTCACTGGTCTTCTTGAAGAAGACTACCACCCATTTTCACTGTTCTGGTCATTGGATTTTTATATTTTTGATTCATTTTCCTTGGTGTCATTTTGATTCCATTACTGTTGGGGGAAAAACCCTTACCTACTATTCCTATACCTTTTTTTGTAAAGAAATCTCATTTCCTTCACATTTTTATTATAATATTTTTCTAGTTGATAGGTCATATACCAACGACATCCATACATTAGATTTCCTACATCCTTACGTATTTTCCTTCTCTTTTTCACCATGTACTTATTTTGTCTCATTAACAATGGATGTTTATTAGTTTTTTAGCATGGTCTTTAAGAAAACAGATATTTGTTGGAGAACAAATTTCATGGTATAATTATGAGACCACTCCTATCAGTCCTCCTCTCAGTCTCTGTCAGCCCACAATAGAAGAAAATGACCCAAGTAACAAACGACTAAAGCATTCATCCCTCGACTTTTATGAGGTTTCCCACAATTTATATGCATTTTTGTTTTCTTTTAAATCTCTACAGATTCAATATGTGAATCTCAGTATTTAAAACTACTCTTTTGGGTTGCTTTTAGAAGCCATATCTATTCATCTCAATCATATCAGCGCCTCATGTGTGGGCAAATGATGGACATACAAAAATCATAGCTGGATTCAATTTAGTTGAACATCACATTTAAAATCTAGCAAAGCTACTGGCACATGAAAGAGCATGGTGTATGTTGTGGAGTGAATTAATGAAATGGCATTGAATTGAATGTCCTGAATTGGTGTCATCTGCTTATTTGTGTCCCCTACGGCCCCTTCTGATCCTATTTTTGACCTCAAGATATACATTTGTTCATGCTTTCTTTACCTTTTCTTAAATTCCTTTCCACTTTTTCCCTAACAACATAGAAGTCTCCCTTTTGTTCTTATATTTTTTAATTGCTTTTTTCTCTATTTCTTTTATCTTCCTAAAAAATCTACATTCTATACAAATGAAATTTTATGTTGCACTACGTAGCTGTAACCCTGGAATCTAAACAAATGGACTGTCTCTTTATACTGCCTGGCACCCAGCTTTATTCATTCCCTTGATTTTTCTTCATATTTGGTAATATATCCCACCTCTTTGACATCTTAAAAGGGGAACAGAATTTCCTTCTTTCTAGACATACCTCTTATATTGTTATTTTCTTCCTTCAGACAGAAATCATGTACTGCTGCCAGACATATTAATTATTCAGAATTTGATTTCACCTTTTTTTCTTCATATATTATGACATCATTTATCTTTTCCAAAAGATCATCTTTCTGATTTTTTAAACTAATGTATGTTTATTGTAGAGGGTATAAAAATACAGAAAAGTCATATAGATTCAAATTCACATCACCTCTAGATGGCAAAGAACTTTTTTCCTCTGTATGTATGCATATTCATTGAGAAAAATTAATATAACACTGTATCATAATATTTTGTTGTTATTGGCTTTTAACTTTTTTTTAATATACGATGGACTATCACTGAGCTACCTCACAGAGAAGTACCTAGTGCCTACTGAACTCTGTGATTTTTAAGCAGGATCCCATTATGTTGGCAAGGCTAGTCTTATACTTCCAATCCTCCTGCCTCAGCCTCGTGAGTAGCTAGGATTACAGCTGTGAACCACAGTGCCTGGCTATTACTTTGTTTTTGTAATTTTACCTAAAATATCATAATCACTTTAATATCTCTAAATATCCTTCAAATTTGATTTTTTTAAATCATAGTAAACTATGTATTTCACAGATCCCTATTTGAAGATTTGAGACATTTTATCTGTGTTTAATTTTTCAATGTTACAAATTGTGAATGATTAACATTTTTGTATATATTGTGCAATCTCTGTTTACTTTCTTACATTGAACTCCTATGACTTGAACTACTAAATTAAAATTTATGTAAGTGTTGTTATGGGTCTTGATGTGTATAGCCAAAATGTCTCCTCACAATATAATTTCATTCTTCTTGTACACATACTTCTGACACCCCAACTTGGGGTGGAGACAAAATAGACAGGCATTACTACAGACCTGTTGTCAAATAGTAGGCATGATGCACCAACAGTTTACATTCCATTATTTTGTTCTTGAAATCCTCTCATTTCACTTATTATTATTATTTTTTTTTTTTTTTGGTTACTTTACTCCTTGATTTGTTTCTCGGGTAATTTGTCATCATTTCACTGGTCAGTAAGAACCTCTCTGTGTGCTGAAGCCTTGTTAGGGGACTAGGGATACTGAGGTTGTTGCCATGTTCTCTCCCTTACTGGCTACACTTAGTGTCTGATCAGAAGCGGGTACCTTAACAATGCATGGTGGCTCATATTTCTTTGGGGAATAAATATTTCAAAAATTTTCATAAATCTATATTCATGGTTACTGTCTCCACAAATCTTTCATTTCTCCACCACACAATTTATATGCTTAAAAATAAAAGCCTTTCTTTTTATGGGTTTTTGCTTACTCTTCACCAATATCATGAATCCCAAACATCCCATTAATGAGCAATGGATTTTACATGCAGTGTTTTTCTTTGTTTCATATACTCTTTATCTTTATTTTACATACCATATCTTATTACATATGAAACATGTATGTGTGTGTATGTGTGTGTCATGTAGAAACACATGACAATTTAATGGCAAATATTTCTGTAGAAGGGCAATTAAATTATGAATTTTATTAACTTGTGTTGATATTTGTTTATGTTTCCCAAATTTTGTACAGTAGTCATTCATATGCTCTGTAAGCGGGTAAAAAAATTATTTGCAAATCACTATTTTATTCAACTGTAACTTTTTGACATATTGAGTGCCTATTAACCTTCCCTATACTCTAATAAGTATGTTTTAGAGGTACTTGTGATGTTTATTTAGTGTCTGATTTTTTCATCTAAAACATTTTTTTCAGTGTTCTCTATGGAAATAAAATCACAGAACTTCCCAAAAGTTTATTTGAAGGACTATTTTCCTTACAGCTACTGTAAGTATTTGATTGTTTTAGATCTCTTGAACCAAATATTACAATTTGTTAGTTTACCCTCTATTTTCACGGAGACTTCAGAAAGATTTGACCTACAATGCTGTAGTTTAATGACATAGAAAACAGTCTCGTAGCTCTAATACTGATGATGGTTGTTTACTGGAAAACACAGCTCTTTGGAATGGTCCCCAAACATTTCTCTCTACAAGGTCATGAATGTATGCATCCTGGCTCTTCTCTTATATAATGTTTGTATAAACCCTCTGCTTGTGAAACATCTATTTTGATATAACCAGTAGTAGAAAAAAGGAGATATATTAATAGTCTTGTCAACCTTGGTCCAAAGAATCTACAGGAGCAAGAGGGCTAGAATAACTTCTCCAAATACCAGGATGTTTTCAGTGAGTCATAAAATAGCAGTAGTCCTCAAACTAATCTGTACTGAATTGTGCGTAAGTCCTCAATAGTATTCTTAAATACCATATTTCTTTCTCGATAACTGCTATCCATTTGTCTTAAATAAATAATTCACTATATGTATTTATAAGAACCAGATTTGACCCCGTGTACTGTCTGACCATATGAAAAGTAAAATAAGAAAAAAAAATATGAAAAAGGTTTTGGGTCATCAAATTCTGTTGGAAACATTAAACACTTATAGAGTAACTCACTTGTAGAAGACTCTTACCTGGAAACTTTTCATACAAATATAAGAAGACATAATTTTTTTTCTCACCTGGTTCATAGTCAGTCTCCCTTAAAACTCTTAAGTTTAGAATTTATTTTCTCTCTGATGAGTGTCATTTGTTGGCATTAATTTAGTAAATATTATTTCTAATTGATAGTCTTCCTAAATGTAGATCTCATTCCTAATTTGATAAGCATATGCACATAATTATATTCTATTACTCATGCCTTAGACTTTTCTCATCATTCTGCAGAGATGTATATCACAACTCAGTCTCTCTGTGTGTGTGTGCCTATCTCTCTCTCTCTCACACACACAGAGCCAATGTTACTTAGACCATATTTAATCTTACCTGTTTAGTTTAATTAATAAACTATGTTTAGTAAACATAGTTTATTAAACTATGTTTAATAGTTAAGTCACTTCACCCCCAATTCTCACCTTCTTTCTCTTACAATAAATCAGTGAGTAATGATAAATACTGATCTTGTGACCTGATGACTTTGTTTGGGTTTTCATTTTCTTTTTGAAACATTTATTTTTTGCAGTAAATTTATCAAGTATTGCTTCTGATTTGATAGAATAATTATATTCCCACTATAAATATTTTATACATTTGTATAGTATGATATATAGCCAAATATCATCTAATAGTTACCTCTCTGTTATTCTGCATTTTTCTGGAGTGTTCTCTGTTACTGCTTTCAACTGCTCTTATTATCAATGCCCTATATGCCTCCCACTCTTAAAATGCTATCTTCTTTTTCTTTCCAAACACACTTACTGGTAGATAATGTAACAAATATGTTAATAAAACATGGGTGTCTCTATAGAACCTGACTTGTAAAGCCACCTTTACAATGTGGCATCTCTAGATTAAGACATATTCTCTTAAGATGGCCAGTATCAAAAAAGATGGCATGATTGTCTCTTTGCAAGTAACTGAGAACTTGGTGAAGTTGAGTGTTTTAGCTTTCAACAGATGAGATTTTAGGGAGAAGAGGGAGGTAAATGAAAGAAAATTGTTATTCAATATTATTTTCCTATTCCTCGGGCCATATTGATTTAAAAATGAGTACAAATTGCCCATAAGAACATATTCTTTCAGCTTCTTCATGCTCCCCACTATTTTCTTGTCTTAAAAGTTTTTAACTCTGTAATTCAGTTAGCTTGTGAATTGAGGAATATTTTCAGCAATATATCAGGGACTGGAGTGGAGAGTTATGGAGTTCATCAAAACCTACCTCAAACCTTCCCTCCAGGGTTGTTAGCAAAGTACTAAATGTATCACAGGGAAGTCCAAAACCAGCTACTGATGGGGGATCAAAGAGCAAACAGGATCACTGTGAGTCATAACCTTATATGTTCATGGAGTACCTAACAAAGCAACCAAGTAAAGTGGAAATACCCTAAATTAACTGAAGAAAACATTTTTTTGTTGTTGTTGCCAAAGAGAAAACATTTTCAGTATGTTAGATAAGGAGGCATACCTAACCATTATACTACATGTTTGTTAAATATTTGTTTGAAATTTTATAAAAGCATTAAAAAATATGATAACAGAAACATAATATTAAAAAGTCTCCTGCTCAAAGAGAGCCAGACTGTCTTTTGGTAAGTAAGTGGGTCAAAACAAAACAGGTAATGATTCTACCAGCACTGAGTAGTGTTCCTAGGAAGGAAACCTGAGGGAGCAATACTTCAGTTCAGTGGAATTATGTTCTGGAAAAGGTTACAGATGTATTCTCCAAAGTGAGACCCAGTCACCTACAACCTGTAAGAATAATGCCTGCTGAAGTATGATCTATATATCACAGTTCCACAGAACATTGATACTATATGTGGGAGAAAGGAGTATGTAGACTGTTTTATTAAATGAATATTAACAATGCAGGACTAGAGCCTTAGATGCTGTAATGCAACATGTCACTCTCGTGGAGGGTAAAGTGTTCATGCAACCAATATTTATTGAGCACCTAATATGTATTAGGCATGTGGGAAATGTCAAGGAATAAATAGAAAAGATCCATATCCCAGGAGAAAGGGTCATGCAAATGACACCCAGCAATAACATTATACATAAATAAATTACATATAACAGAAGGAAATACACACTTAGAGAAATGGAAAATGTAGATTGAATAAAGGGAACAGAGATGTAAGGGTTGGAAAGGGGAAAGATAGACAGTATATATGAAAGAGAGTGATTGGGATAGGTTGGAAGAAGGCAGATTTGAGGAGACTCTAGGGGGAGAAGGACATAGGGGAAGAACAATCCAGACACCAGGGAGTCTAGCTTGCAAAAAAAAAAAAAAAAACGAAAAGAAACCAGTGTAACTGGACTGGAACATCCCAGAGGAGAGAATTGGGAGGTTGCACAATACCCAATAGTGGGCTGCAGATGCTAGTGACATTTGAAGGTTTAGTGAGGACTTAGAATTTTCAAAGTGTGAAATATGATATATCAAGAACTATGTAATGTTTTGAACAACCAACAATAAAAATTTAAAAAATAAAATAAAATAAAAGTCCGTTGACAACTAAAAAATATTTTAAATAAATAAATAAAATACCAAAAAAAGAATCTATTCTGAAACTGTGAGAAGAAATTACATACGATATATAAAAATTATGTATTTACGTAACTATCAACATAAAATATTAATATTCCTAAAATATGCTAAAACATATTATATATATATATATATATATATATATATATATATATATATTTATCTTATCTATAAAAAGGCATGGGTAAAAAATAAATTCATTTAGAATTAAAAAAAAAAAAAGAATTTTACTCTGAGCCAACAGGAAGATGTTTCATGGTTCCAATAGAAGAGTGACATGATCTAAGCTGTTTGAGAATGACCACTATATTAGATGCTATTCTGAAATTAGACTGAACTATTTCACAGAGCAGCTCAAGGTTAATAATGTTTTAGCATATATTTATGGTGTCCTTGACACCTTTCTGTGTCTGTTGTTCTCTTTCTACATCATCCTTAGTTTCCCTTAATAAGTTTTGTTGAATTCATGCATAAGTATTCATGCATACGTGAATTTTGATGTCTCTACTACATTACACATCTCTAGCCTGTGATATCTAAACTGTTATTAAAGTTAAAATGTTAGTTTTGAGGTTAAAAGTAATGACTGGGTTTTCTCAAGGACAGTCTCTTGCAGGTGAGTTAGTGAGATGCTACACTTTAATTCTGCAACTATTTGATCAAACAGATTATTGAATGCCAACAAGATAAACTGCCTTCGGGTAGATGCTTTTCAGGATCTCCACAACTTGAACCTTCTCTCCTTGTATGACAACAAGCTTCAGACCATCGCAAAGGGGACTTTCTCGCCTCTCCGGGCCATTCAAACTATGTATGTAGATATGATTTGCATCAAATTTGATGACTGTTGTTTTCACTCTCAATATGAGAGTGGAGTCCAATGGAAGTCATGTGTGAAAAACTCTTCTGTCTGTGTTCCTGAAAGGCATTTGGCCCAGAACCCCTTTATTTGTGACTGCCATCTCAAGTGGCTGGCGGATTATCTCCATACCAACCCGATTGAGACCAGTGGTGCCCGCTGTACCAGCCCCCGCCGCCTGGCAAACAAAAGGATTGGACAGATCAAAAGCAAGAAATTTCGTTGTTCAGGTAATTTCTTGACATTTCCAAAATGTGACCAAAAACAGTGGTTATGTGAGAACTACTGAAAGCAGTCACCCTTTGGCTGGTTCCCAAACATTATAGATTCATATTTCATTTAATTTGCCCAAGAAGATAAAGAACAAGAGAATTGTAGACACAACTCATAGAGTACAAATCCACTTTTTATATAACATTTTAAACACTATACCTAGTGGAAGAAATGGGCTATTGGCCAAGTTCAAATGATGCCTGGGTATTTCATACTGTGTACTTGGGATTCAAACATAACAAGGGCCTTTTATCTAACTCGAAATGCCTTTAAAATATGTTAAGTGTTGTGTTTGTTGTACTGTTCTCTATTGACCAATTTCAAGTAATCAATCATGTTTTCATTTCTTCAGAAAATGAACTGAGATTTGGTGACATGATGTGCTGAGGCTCAGAAGCAGGGGCAAAAACCCTCCTGATCCCTCGCCTCTCACTCCTAACGCACTTGCTCATTTTGCATTTCCTTATTTTGAATAGAATTGTGAAGAGAGATTATTTTTTTTTCCAAAAGGCTGTTTTAACCTTTTGGGAATATTACATTTATCTACCAAAAGCTAAATATAAATGTATTGAATTGCTATTAAATGGAGTGATTGCTTCATTGAAAGGCACTATTTCCTTTAATCTCATTTTATTTATATTCTGATGATAGAACAAATTCTGTATGTTTTCAGTAGTATGCTGCTTAACTGTTCCAGGTGTATTCACATTCAGCAGTTAATTCATACTAAATGCTAATATCAAAATGAGGCTGGTTATTGTCTGTAATTACAGATGCACTTATTATTCACTCTGCATTACTGTACTCTGGCCTCTGCTGTGAATATACATTTTTATTTAGTAATCTATAGTAACTTGAATCCATTCTTAATCTAATATAACTCGTATCTCTGCTTGCTGACATTCAGGTGCATCTTCTATTTTTTTTTCTCTTTTTTTATTTAGCTAAAGAACAGTATTTCATTCCAGGTAGGTTTTGCTCGGTGGTAGGACTAACCGCAGACACCCTTTCCTCACTCTATAAAATATCTTCTAAAACTTTGATATGCATGCTTTTGAAACTACAGTGAATACTCTATAGGTAGATTGACTTATGTATAGATCACTTGTAGCTGTTTCCTGAAAACCTGACCTTTGCATGCAGCTTCTGATGTTAAACATTTTTATTATTAAACTCCCACCTTTTTTTCTCTCCCTTTCACTTTGGCACATTATCTACAATTTCTCACAGTAGCTAAAATGTTTGAACCTATGGCTTTCTACTTAAATCATTTTTTCTCCTTACATTGTATACCTGATCTTTCAGCCTGTTTTTAAAATATAGCTTACTGAGCTAGTTTTAAAGACAGAGGCCTTCTGTTGTCAAAGAGCTATTTCTACATGAAATCAGTTAGAGACATGAAGTATTGCATTTTCAAAAGAAGTCTTACTTTTTAAAAAACTTTTTATGTAAAAAAAGAATAATTCTTTTCCTACTTTTGCTTCACTTTTTATATGAAAATAGCAGCCTCATGCTGATTTATGTGACTTATTCCTTATTAGTTTGTGACTACAATCTTGCAAATCTGGAGTTACAATGTAACTCCATAAAAGATTACTGATGTCCATTATGAAAACATTAGAAGTTCATGGGCACTGAATGCCTTGAATAATTTAGGTAGATGGATAAAGTGTTTCTAAGAAAAGTAATTGCAATGTGTTATCACTTCAATCTTAACATTCCCAAGACTGATGATTCTAGAGCTAGCTCTTTAGACTATGTTCCTTTACTTATTTTTTTCCTTGCCTGCCAATTGTGTAAAATGCCTCTTGACTTTTTTGTTTTAAAGTATTATTTTTAAAAATATATATTAAGCATTGATTGGCTACTTTCACCATCTTCTGGGTATATTCTAGACTATAATATGTCTGGAGAGCTATAAATAAAAAAATATGTTTGCAGAGTGCTCAAAACCATATTTACTTTCTTAAGAGGAGTTCTGGGTTAGATCTGTATGTTAAAGAAATATAGTTTTGCTATTATTGAATTATAATTTATATAATTTCATGCATTTAATATATTTAGTTATATTACTAAATTCAAATGTCCAAATAATATTTTACACATTATATTTGGCTGTATCACAGTAAAATGTTGAAATGAATGGTTGATTGACCTTCACTGGCAAAACATTATTATTTTGATCTAATTATTAAGTGGAAAGTCATCTGATAGCTATTACTTAAATTAAAAAAAAAAAAGCCACACTTTAAATCCCAGACCACCTATAGGATAATACTTGAATATGATTTAAATCCAAAAATTACAGCAGTTAATTTAATTGCTACTGAATTATTCAAATTCTATTTTAGTATATTTTATTAAAAACTTAGAAGTTAATATTTCCATTTCACCAAATGGAAACAAAGTCAGATTGTTTTCATAATTCTGATACAGTTTTTCCTCTTACTGGCAGAAAAAAAAATCAAGTAAGGTTTTAGAAAACATATTTTATACATGATATCACATCTTAACTTTCACTTTCTGATAATTAAATTTATATTAATTAAAATAAGAATTATAGATGCCAGGACTCAAAAGGATTCTTTACACTTTTTTTTTCTAAAATCTTAATTAGAATTTGAGTCTATTTAACAAATGACCATAAAGCAAATATTATTGCCATGGCTACAGATTATTTGAAGTACATTCAGTCAATCTGTCAGTTAGACTCTGTTACCAGTATATGCTTATTTCACTTTGGACTTAAGTCAAAGGCACAATAAAATAGATCCTCAATAAATACTATGGCATTCATTGCCAGAGGTAATATAACTATCATATTGGCATTGCACACTTGCAATGAGATTCTGATTCCATTTCTGCTAAGTGAACATTATTTACAAGTTGGAAAGGTCATTAAAAAGCATGTTAGCTACAACCTAAAGATTAATCCAAATGTTCTAATGATAGTCCTTGAGGATCTCTGTGATTAATTTCTCATTCACTTTTATATGCTTACTTGCCTGCTGCCATTCTATATAGCATCCTCCATATCACAGTGATAACTCAAAACAATGTCTGTCACAGAGAGTTCATCCTTTAAAGGAATCGACAAGAACTTAATTTGTACTGTGCATCCTTTATGCCATTGCTTTTTCTGTAAAGTCATCATGCTTCAAGAAAAAATATTATTACTTTTACAAAGCATGACAAATCCCATCACATCATGCTATTCCCCTATAGTTGCTATAGTAAAGAAAGGACACAGAGAGCATAGTTGGATGTATATATGTCTGTTAACCTTAATTGGGATTACTCTGTCTTTCTTTCCTTCTTGGTGATCTTTACTTTTACAGGAATCCACCATTGGGGCTGTAAGTAAAAGTGTCTGATCTGAAACATAATGTCCTCCCTTTTCAATCCTGGTGTATCTTCTTCTAGTCTCGGTCTTTTGCGCCTTTTTTTTTTTTTTTTTTCAAGAAGAAACCACAGATCTTTTGAGCTTCTCTGTTGTCCTTGTAGCTCACGTTCAACTTCTTCCTGGACCTTGTTCCCGAAAGCTGTGGTTTCCATTCTGCAGTTCTGAGGAACGGTGGAGGCATCTTTCAGTATAGCCCCTTCTTTGTGTTTCCAGGAAAGCTTCGGTAGTAATACTCTTACTATGGTCATAAACATTCTGCGGGAAGAATGCATGTCATGTAAACAGTATTACACTTCCAGAACGCCTGTAGCTTTTCTCCTGCTCCCTTCATCTTTCCTCCTGGTCTTACCTGTGGCCTAGTGGTTGGTGTAGTGATAATGTAGCGAGATTTTCTGTTGTGCTTGATCTAACCATGTGGTTGCGAGGTATGAGTAAAACATGGTTCCGTCAAGCACCATGGAACGTCACGCAGCTTTCTACAGCATGACAAGCTGCTGAGGCTCAAGTCAGGATTTACTTGTCTCTTTTTATAAACTCATCAAAAAAGAAAAAAAAAAAGAAAGAAAAAAAGAGGGCTTTTTAGGCTTTTCTGAAGATTATGTGAGAGGGAGAGAATAATACAAGTCCACAGAAATTTAAAGACCTGAGTATATCCATTTGCCTTGAAAGCCCTAATTTACAATGACATACAGGAATATGTTTATTACCAGATACATTTTTAATTCTTGAAGCAGGAAAAAAAAATAAAAAACTTTTTTTTTTTTTAACAATTAATAGCCATTGTGTGATTAGCTGTGAAATAGGCTAGAATGGCTCAGTGGATCAGCAGAAAGTACAGCTGTGAAAAGCTCAACTTTATTAATGTTTTCCTGTCATGTGAATCTGGTCACTCTTTTTTCCAGAAAATTTCAAGCCTTTCTTTTAACCCTCTCCTGACATCCATTGACCAAAATTCCCTAAGTTGTCTCCCTGCTGCATAATCTATAGTTATCTTACTTTTTTCTTCCTACAAATGAATCAATGTTCTAACCTTTGCACTCAGTGTTTCTTTTTTTGGCTTGAATCCTCAATAGGTACGGAAGATTATCGATCAAAATTAAGCGGAGACTGCTTTGCAGACTTGGCTTGCCCTGAAAAGTGCCGCTGTGAAGGGACCACAGTAGATTGCTCCAATCAAAAACTCACCAAAATCCCGGACCACATTCCCCAGTACACTGCAGAGCTGTAAGTTCATCCTCCAAAAAATCCTGGTTGGGAGGGAGGGACTTTTTAAAAGCATCAGAGCAAGAAAAAAAAATTAATACCTTTATTTTATTTATTTATTTTTATGGGGTGCTGAAGATGGAACCCTGTGCTTCACACTTGCTAGGCAAGGGCTCTGCCACTGAGCCACAACCCCAGCCAGAGCATAGCAATTTTTGTCTTGACATTTTTAATCTGAATAATTACATTAATTTTAGTGGATACACATTACATTGATCTACCTCTTCTTTGCAGAAGCTTAGTTCATCTTTCTAGCTAAAAACACAGTTAAAAATTAACTTCTCTCCCAGAATTCAGTGAGCAATCACTACTACTAATAATAATAATAGTGATTATTTGATTCCTATTTGTTATTATAAACCCATTTCTAAGAACTTAGTACATTCTTGACATACACAAGCCTTACAACAACTAAATAAAGTAGATTGAGTGTCTCCATTCCAGATCTCAGTTAATTGTGAATCAAATCAGGGAATCTTTTTATATCTATTTTTCTACTTTATTGACTCACAGATGCAAGGATTCAGTGATTGGCAAGTATTAAAGCACAAAAGATAGTATTTTCTAGACAATGGATGACAGAAAATAGAAAGTTGAGGAGACAGAGTGTAAGCAGATTTTGTTTTACAAGTCTAACATAAGACCTAGCAAGTACAGGGGATCAAATTGGTGTGTGGAATCATTTGCAGATCCTGTACCCATGTATGGTTTATCTTACAGACTTTATTTATAAAAGTAAGACCTTTAGTGTTAGTGTTCTAAACATTAAAAAAAAAAAAAAAAAAGAACACTAGTGAAATCTCATCATCTTCTGAACATCTTAGCAACACGAATGTCCGGCACAATCTGGTATCTGTCATTGACTGCTTTGCTGAGTTGGTTGGTCTGTGTGTGTGTGTATTCCTTCTGTCTTCAACAAGATTATAGCTCCTGGCTGACAGGGATTGTGTGTGTTATAGTTTATCTCCCACTGTGCCTATACACATGCCTGTTACTTAATGAATTTTAAGCAATTTGAATAATTAAAAATAAAGTAATGCCTTTCAAAGAGTTGACAGAAACAAACTCCTTTGTGATTATCATGATATTTTTAGCACTTGTTTGTTCATGGCAACATTTAATACCTCCAAGACTTTGAGAAATGTATAAGGACTATGCAGCAAAAGCCCTGAACTCTATTTCATTAGCCACATAGGGATTATACTTATTTCCAAGAGCAGTATACACAATAGGTATTTTGTCAATTAAGAATTGTAGTAGAAACTAGCCCGTAATGTAGGCTTTAGCAAAAGTTTCTCTTTGCATTTTAAAAACTGGTAATTTAAAAAATTATGCACATAAATTTATTACTAGGAAGAAAACACTTGCAAACCATGCATCTGATGAGGGATTTATATCCAGAATATATGAAGAACTCTTGAAATTGAGCAATTAAAAAAATTACATTATCTAATTAAAATATGATCACAATTACCTGCATGGATCTTTCTCTAAAGAAGTTATGCAAATGGCCAATAAACACATGAGAAAATTTTCCATGTAATAAGTCATCAGAGAAATGTCAATTAAAACCACAGTGAGATACCAATTCACACTCATTGGAATGCTTATAAAACAAACAATAAAAAGGATAATAGTAGGTCAGGGAAATTGAATCCGCATGCCCCTTTGGAAAACAGTTTATCTGACCCTCAAAATGTTAAATATATTTACCATATGATCCAACAATTTTATCCTACATATTCAAAAGAATTGAAAAGATATTCATATAAAACCTTTATGTCAGGCTTCATATTAGCATTTTTCATGATAGCCAAAAAGTGGAATATCACAGATGTCCAACAACTGATAAATACATAAATGCAGTATGTCTGTTTTAGTTGGCTTTTACTATGATATGACTTAAAGTCCTGACAAGAACAATTTTAGAAGAGGAAATGTTTGTTTGAGGGCTCACAGTTTCAGAGGTTTCAGACCATAATCACTTGCTGGCTCCATTCCTGAGGACTCCACATGATGCAGAATATCATGACAGAAGAGTGTGGCAGAGAGAAGCAGCTCACATGATGGTCAGTGATCAGGAAGCAGAGAGAGATCGACTTGCCATATACAAAATACATACCCCAAAGGCATGTCCTCAATGATCCACCTCCTCCAGCCACACCTTACCTTCAATTACCACTCAGTTAAGGAGGGGATTAATTCACTGATTAGGTTAAGGCTCTCTTAACCCAATAATTTCTCCTCTAAACCTTCGTGTATTGTCTCACAAATGAGCTTTTTGTGGACACCTCACATACAAACCATAACAACGTCCATGCAATTATTCAGTCATGAAAATTATGAAGTACTGATAATATATACTACAGTATGAATGAAGGTGTAATACATCATACGAAGCAAAAGAAGGTAAACACAAGAGGCCATATTTTGTATGAGTCCATTGATATGAAATGTCCAAAATAAGAAAATCAATGGAAACAGGAAGTTAATTTTTGCCAAAACTAGGGGTTGGCAGAGTTGGGGTGGGTAAGATTTGGAGGGACTGGTAATGATTATGGTGTTTCTTTATGGGTTGGTGAAAATATTCTGGAATTAGATGACAGAGATGGTTGATCAAACTTGTGAATACACTAAAAACCACTGAACTGTGCACTTAGAAAAGGGTGAACTTTATGGGATGTAAATTGTATTACAATAAAGCTGCATATAAAAAAATATGGAGCAAGTGATTAGGAAAAAAATGTCAAAAAATACAAAGGGAAGGGACAATCATGAAAAACAAGTTAAAAGTTTGTTCTAGAGGTTACTGAGAGGTGGTTTTGATTATTGGTTTTCCTTACTTTGCACTCCTTAACATGCTTTATTCCATAATTAAAATTCAAGTGAAATTTGGAAAAGAATAATAGTACTTTTCACAAATCCTCTGTGATATTTCTACTATATTTTATTTTAAAGTGATCATTAAATACTGTTTTTATTCAGTATGACTAATATTTAATCCCTTGCTAAGTGTTGGTAATGAAACCTTCCTGTCTTTTTTCCCTAGCCGTCTCAATAATAATGAATTCACAGTATTGGAAGCCACAGGAATCTTTAAGAAACTTCCTCAGTTACGTAAAATGTAAGTCATTTGTTGGTTATGTTAAATTTCTCAGGTGTTTCCTTGTGTTTTCCCTTTCCTTTGAAGTTTTATCTGCGTTTCTTTCAAAATTGGAAAATATAAAAAAAATCCAGGCAGATTTCCATATGTGAACTTAGGGTAATCTCTGAGAGGAATCTTGCCATGTGTTCAAACAATGCCAACCAAAGCCTTAGCATCTTACTGGAACACAGACAGCTGGTCTGTTATGTGGCCACAGCAGGAATCCAGCAATCTAAGCACATTAAAATGGGTTCAGTGATATTTTGTAACTTCCTTTACTGTTCCCCAAACCATGCTGTGACTTCTCTTTCTGCAGATTCATGTCAGCTCTTTGACTTTTTGCTTCATTAAACTTTCATTAGAAGATAGTGGAAATTAACGATTGGCAAACTGGCTTCATAGCTCATCTGTTACATGTCATACGGCTCATATTTTAAAATAAGTTGATAAACTCAGCAATTTCCACACATTGTGTATCCTACAATCCTGGGAAGGAGTGAGGAAAGGGAGGGAGGGACAGGACAGAGGCCCAACAGGTAAGGACAAGGAAGTACCCTCCACAGGAGATGAGACCTCTGCAGGAGAAGAGAAGTGTTCTTCCAGGACATCCTTGTGGTCACAGTGTCCCGGCCCATTCTCCCTGAGACTGCGAGTGCAGAGCTGATCGAGCCTCCTGCCCTGCACTTCACCTACGTGTTGTGCTGCCTCTCAAATGTTCTGTTATTTTTTAATTGCCGTCTTTCTGACTGATATGAAATATACTTCTTGTTTATCTGTAAGATGACTTCAAGGCAGCAAGTATTTATAAAACAGCTACTATGAGCAATGTTCTGGGAGAAAAAAAAAGTTACAAAAAAATTATTTTGTTTCGGTGGGGTGGGGGTGGCCACTCCTATTCTTGGAGTGAGCAGTGAGAAAGAAAAAGAGGCTATAGAAAGATGTTCCCTGAACTGGATGTGCTTGTTCTCCGGGCAAGCAATGTAGTATCTGATTTCAAAAATACACTGACAGTGTTTTTTGTTTCCACAAATTATTGCATGTAAAGTTTAACTGGGAATATACCCATATCCAAGTACATTTCTGATACAAGGTAAATGCTAATAAGGTTTTAGCCTATCTTCCTTCTCTTATTCAGTTGCTCTCTTTTAGCCACTAATTCACAAAATAATTTGAATCAGAGATATTTCTATGAAAAATTCCTTACTGAGCCTTGCAAAGGACATAGAGATTATATAATCCATTACCTAGCCTCAAGAATTTTGTACTCTGGAGGATTTGGAGGGATCATTTTGACATGAATCAGGCTGATATTTTTTGCCATAGACATTCCGTCTTAGTGTTACTGTCCCTTTGGCTTCATGCATAAGGTAAGGGGTGGGTTTTCAGCACTCTGGCAGTACTGGGCATTGGAAAAGCTTGGACATTGTGGAAGGCTTTATTCAGTAGGAAAAAAAAATGGTCAAGTATATGTGTCCTCTTTGTTAGAAATAAATCATTTACTCTTGGTTTGCACAATTTTTTTTAGCAACTTTAGCAACAATAAGATCACAGATATTGAGGAGGGAGCATTCGAAGGAGCATCTGGGGTAAATGAAATACTCCTCACCAGTAACCGTTTGGAGAGTGTTCGGCATAAGATGTTCAAGGGATTGGAAAGTCTCAAAACTTTGTAAGTAGTCTTTATTATTCATTAGTCCATTATTCGTCCTAATCCTGGGAGGGCAGAAGATGCCTACCCTCCCCCATCCACCCAGTCTCTGTTTCATCTCTCTCTCTTTCTCTTATACCCCCCCTTACACACACACACACACACACACACACACACACACACACAAACACACATCTTCTGTTAAGGCAGACATTTCCCTTTATTCCAATATTCCTGTCCTTAATATGCTGTAGGCATGTTGTCAGGGGAAGCCTTCGTCTCCTTGTTGAATCGTGTGTCTTTGTTTCAGTGCCTCTGCATATCTGGCTTACCTGTTCTGATTCAAAAATAATCATTCTCTTTCCTTGTCTTCAAATACCTTATATTCCCTCTTAGTCCAATGACTTGAAATTTCAGTTCCCAGTAACCCTTGCAACCATAGAATTGTAACAGCCAATCTGAAGACTATATGTGTCTGCCCCTGCAAGTTTTTAGTGAAAGAAACACTGGCTGGTGCTGGATCTATTACCATCTGGTGGCAAAGAAAAGGCACTGAGAGTTGTGTCTGTTTGCTCAAGGGCAAAGAATTTGAGAGAAAGCAATCCTTTGTGTTTCCAAAAGGTTATTGGTCAGGGAGGACGGGAAGTGGGTTGAATAGTAAGTATAGTACTTTTATGTTATTTGAATTTTCTACAGTACATATCTATTTTCATTATCTTTCAAGTTATGTTGGACCAAAGTGGTGGCCTGAAAACTGGAAGAGAAACAAACCAAACTAAAACCTTTGGAGGGAATGAAGGCAACCATTTGTAACAAGAAGCTTTGGTGATTGTAGTGAAGAGAGGCCCAAATTTCACAGTCTCCCTTAATCCCTGAAATCCTTGTAAAGCCAGGAGGGCTGGACCTGATCACCTAGGGACTCCATTGCAGCTCTTTATCAGAGGAAAAGGAGAAGGCCATTTCCCCAGCCAGTGGGATGTGTTTAGTAGCATCCCAAGTTCAAATGTGACCAAAAAAAAAAAAAAAAAATCTCTGCACTAGAACAGATCTGTGCTTCTTGAACTTCTCAGGAATGTCCTGGAACTTAACCATCCAACAGGACCAGCCTGTGATCTGCATAGCTTTCCCATTGGCTTATTTAGAGCCCATCCATAATGACATGCAGATGTGCACTCAGATAGTGAGTATTTGGAAAAGACAGTGAAGAATGTATAGAAGAAGGGTAAAGAAGATATACCATAGGTGGTTGTGTCTAACCTTCCCCTAAACTGTTCCAGGTAGCTCAGCAGAACACAAATCCTGCAATAAGAAGCAGCCTTCTTCTCAGATAGCAGTTAAGGGACTACCTTGTTACTGGGATCTTCTCCTTGGCAAAGGAGGGCTGTGGAGAGAGAATGGGGAGCAGGCCTTAACTCCCCCTGTTTTAGTCCACTCAGGCCACCACAACAAGATACCACACATTGGATGCCTTAAGGGGCAATAATTTGTTTCTCACTCTTAGAGGCTTGAAGTTCAAGATCAAGGTGTTTGACAGGGTGAATTTCTGGTGAAGCCTCATCCTTTGTGTGGTGGAGGTCCTTCTTGCTATGCCTAAATGGTCTTTCCTCTGTGCTCATGTAGAAGGAAACATCACACATGAAGGTTCTGCTGTCTCTTCCTCTGTCCTTTGAGAACAGGGCCCTACAATCGTAAACGCACTTGATATTTTACTAACCTGAAGACCCTCTCTTCTAATACAGTTGCATATGGGGCTGAGGGCTTCATAGTATGAATTGAGGGGACAAAATTCAGTCCATAACACCTCTCAAAAAAATGCTTATCAAGGTATTTCTTCTGTCTAGTGACATTCACAGGACTCTCCCCGAGAGGAGCTGTCTAAATTTACTTTTTTTCTTTCATTTTACTTCTCTGGCTGTGTTTGTGCTTCTTATGTTTCAGAACCTGATTCAGGTATACCCACTGACTCTTTCCTGAATCCTCCTATGCTGCACAAAGTAGAGTCACCTAGCACCAAACTTGGAGTACACAACATTTTAGAGTAGGTTTATCTGCAACAATCTATTCTTGCTTGTGGGCTTTTTCAGCTTAGGGCTCTAAAGATTTGACAACACATCCTAATTTATCCTAGACCTCCCAGCTCTTTAGGACTAGTTATACATGTACCTATTTCAGCAAATCTTTGAATTCCTTGACATTTTGGGCTAAATTTGGTGCGCACATGTGCTTACAGATTTTTCCAGCAACAGAGTAAAATTTTTTCCAACTTCTCCTCGGGTCCATGAGTCTGAATAAGACTAAGACCAAGTGCTTTCTCTTATATGACAAAGAAAAGTGCTGCTGGGAATACTTTTCCGTTGTGCATTTGTTTCTTAACGTAAGAGAAGGCTTTGATGAGGGAGGCATCATCCTTTATTATAATCAGTGACATAGCAGAAGGCAAAGGTGTGTAATTCTTATTTATTAGAGGTTGATCTGGAATTTTAAGGCAACTCTTGGTTGTTCATTTGGTTTTGCCTCTCTTATTTTCTGAGGTCATCTAGTAGAGTGATTAACTTATGTTTAGAAAAATTAATGAATACATTGATTGCACAGGAATTCTGAATCTGATTTATAGCAACTATCCATATTCAACCAGGATTTTTAGAAAACTTTTTAAAATGTGTCTCCTTTTGAAGCCCCACAGATATATAGTTTAGTAAAGATTTCTGAAATAAGCTAGGTCTTTAGCAGTGATGAGGAAATGACAACAGTGTTAATCCTATTAATGAAAAGACCTAAAAATAAATGGTCATAGTTTTTCCAGGGTAAACCTATTTAAACTTCATTGTGGACAACTGGGTTGTTACTCTTGCCTCATTTTTAGTTTCTGAGCTTGAGACAATGAACACATATTCATAAATAAAACAGTCTGTGCAAGCATTATGGATACTCAGTCGTGTCTGGCTCCCCAGCCACTGTTTGACATTGACTCACTATCTGAGTCCCTGGATGCCCTCAGTTCCTCATCTGCAACAGCTATTGATTCTTTTCTCCCTCCTTTCTGCTCAACCTCAAATGTCATACTACCGTGAATACACAAATCACAGGGCTTCAAGGACTCAGAGAGCTGTAGGTGAATTGGGACATTATGTAATCATGCAAACATAATTATAGCATCAAAAAGAAAACATTTCAACCCTCATCACGGAATTGTAAATCCATACAAGCTCACCTGCCTTTTGCAAATGAATTTAATCATTGATGACTCTGAAAATTTTACTCTTGCTGGATGTTCTCAGTGCATCACGATTTCTAATGGCAAGAGAACATTCAAAAAATACTAATGAATGCTACATATTTTTGAGGGATTATTTTGATTCTCAATTAGCCAAAATTGATTGTCTGATGCTGTATCTCCATAACAATGTCCTCCTTTTCTCCCTCAGGATGTTGAGAAGTAATCGAATAAGCTGTGTGGGGAATGACAGTTTCATAGGACTCAGTTCCGTGCGTTTGCTTTCTTTATATGACAATCAGATTACCACGATTGCACCAGGGGCATTCGACACTCTCCATTCTTTATCTACTCTGTGAGTATGAAAAGAGCATCTTTATTTATGTGTTATCAACTCAGCGTATTATATTTCTTACTTTTATTAATAGCATTTAGCATATTATTAAACATTTCATAAAAATGTGATCAAGGACTTAGATATTTAAAAAGGACACATTTGTTCATGTTAAATTTAATTTTTATAAATATTACATTAAATTAAAAACATATTTAATATTTTCTGTCCTTTTTTTAATAATGGTATCAATATGAAAATTAATTTCTAAACTTTAAAAATATTGCAACTTGACAACATTTGCAAATAAATACAATTTTATATTTTTTTCTCAGTGTTCTCATGTTGAAGTATTTTCACTCATTTTTCTCACATTGAAGTATCTTCATTATAAGTCTCATAAAAACAGAATTGATAGGCTATTGCCAACAAACTGTGCACAAAAGAATCATTCATGATGACAAGAGATACATTAAGATGACCAGACCAACAATAAAACCTGTTCACTAGAGGACATTGACTATAATATTAGGAAAATGTTGAAGAAATAGGTTGAGTCTGTGCAAGAGTATATTTTATGTAGACAGTTTGAAAATCAAAAAAAAAAAAGTAGGTCTATAACAGAACTTGGAAAATGTCAAAAAAAAAAAAAAAAAAAAAAAAAAAACCTCCAAAGAATATATTTCAGGCCTTTGGTATATCAGTGTCTGAAAAACAGTGCTAGAAATTATGAATTATACCTGATGATTTCCTGGTCATGCTGTTCTCCAAATATGCTAACCTAACTCAATAGGAGGGGAATAAAGACAGAGGGCATGGGGAAGCAGGTTTAACATACCTCAAATCACTGAAGAAGTCATTTGAGGGAAACATCCATCCATCAATAAAGTACTTAATCCTTTTTCCACATAAAACTTGACATTTTACATGGAGTGACTAATTTGTGCATATTAAAGATGGCATGTTTATAAATAATGGGATTGTCAATAGGTTTGTGCTGAAGTGGTGAGATGCCAAAAGTATTGAGATTTGTAGAAGTAAATTCATTTTTATAACTGGCATTTAATCAACTCAGCTGTCAGTTTAGATAGCAAACCTATTCTCTGGAGCAAATAAGAGATGGGAATCTTGAGATGACAAATTAATGAAATAGCTGTTGTCAGGTTAAACTCAATAATATAAGGTAATCAGCCTTCATCTTTATATTAAATTACTGCATTATCAGTCTAGGGAAGTTTGACAGTAAGTCAGATTTCTGACAAGTTTAAATTATTTCTAAATGAGGTATCTATCAGGATCCACTGCATAAACTCCAAATTGCTGCCTTCACTCTCTTTTATACATGAAAATTATTTGAAGAATTCTCTTTTCTGCAAGTGTTGTTATTGTTTAAATTTTAGACATAAATATTTAAGCAAAAATATACATAGCATATGTCGCATGGGATTGTGAGTGAATGGGGGATGTGAAAACAAGACTAACAAGGAATTGTTCCAGCAGAAACCCGCAGGGAGATATGGCATGGGGTTTTGAGAAGATAATAAAATCCTAAATTAAACTGTGCATTTTTTGCATGTGGTGCTTAGAAACCTCTTGGCCAATCCTTTTAACTGTAACTGCTACCTGGCTTGGTTGGGAGAGTGGCTCAGGAAGAAAAGAATTGTAACTGGAAATCCTCGGTGCCAGAAACCATACTTCCTCAAAGAAATCCCCATCCAGGACGTGGCCATTCAGGACTTCACTTGTGATGATGGTAAGAGACTCTTGCCATCTTTGGTCCCAGGCATTCCCATGCCCATCCATGCACCAGTGCCTGAATGTGCAGCAGACCGTGGCTCTGTGCAACATGTGACGACTGTGCATCTTTTGCTTTGCTTGTTGTTTATTTTGTTTTGGCAGCAGGATACTTCTTTTCTCAGATTTGTCCTCTCACATCCGAGTTTTCTTGATGTGAGTTTCTGAGTGTTTTAGAAGATTTTCTACTTTCCAACTTGTGATTGATACTATTTATATAGCTTCATTTTAACTTTTCTTTATTATCCTTGGCATCTCTTTTAGGAACTACCATTTTCAAATGAGAAAAGCAATTGACTTATAAAGTAGAAGTTCTCGTAAATCTGACAAAAGTAATAGTTTTCACTTTTAATGCTCTATCATTGCAATTGATTCTTGTAATAGCACTTAAGGTAGAGAGAGCAGATTCTATTATTATTACCAGTGAACAGAGAACTAATTTGAGCTCTGTATTTCAAAGTGAGGGACCCATGCAGTTTTTCCTTATCATTTTAAGTTAAGCTGCCCCTTTATGTCTCTTCACGAATGTCTATGTATAGTTTTTTCCATAATTCAGTCCATTTATATGCCATAATTGTAAAAATAAAGTCCAAATAGCTGAACAAATATGGTTATATTAGTAATACAAATTGTGAACTATTTTCTGAACTTCTGCCCTAGGCAGTCTGAAAACAATGGCGTATAGAATGTGTGGTATCAATTTGTACATAGTTATTGCTCTATACATAAGTGATCATATGACTCCAGACCCTTGGCGTTTGTTAATTGAATGGCATAAAAGCCCTTTTAGGCCTTCAGAACCACAAATCTGGCTCTTTCCTCTGTTCATTTAGGAAATGATGACAACAGCTGTTCCCCACTCTCTCGCTGTCCTACGGAATGTACTTGCTTGGATACAGTGGTCCGATGTAGCAACAAGGGCTTGAAGGTCTTGCCCAAAGGTATTCCAAGAGATGTCACAGAGTTGTAAGTAGCACCCATCTTTCCCTTTCCCTCACAATTAATGATTTACACACCAAGGAAAACGAAGATCAAACAAGAATCTTTAGAATCCTGTTTGCAAATTGTATTCTAAAAATGGTTAATAATTATCATGCAAAACTGTAAACCTGTAATTGGGAATTGCTGGTTGGGTGTGTTTTCCCTTTTCCACAGTAGGATTTCTCAGTGCCTTTATTACGCTGAGGTTCAGCATTAAGCTCCAAGTGAGAATGGTAAAATATTGGGTAACTCCCGCTCTTATCCAACCCTATATCCCTTTATACATTGAGCATTTTATAGGAGAAATGTCGCATTGAATGAACTTTGGTAAATGCTTAAAGTTAATTTATTTACAATGTCTAGGATATTCCATATGGTTAATTCTTCTTCACCTGTATAACCCCTGCGACAGCATCTCACATGTAAGATAAATAATTATCTGAGAGGTAGCAGTAACAGGCATAACCTTTGCCCATAAAAAGAGGAATTTGATGTTTTGTTCCTAAATCAAAGACTGTTAGATCCTAAAGGATGCAAGGCCAGTTATCCCTGACATTTCCATAATCAATATATAAATACAAATTACATGTCTAATTTCCGCATACCTAGACCTTCCTACTTCAGACTTTCTGCCCATACTTGCCTGGCTGCATCCTTGCTACATATGCAGAATAGAATAAACCAGGGACTGTGCTGCTGGAATAATGAAGCCTGCCTGCTCCTTTCATTCCAATTTTTTTATCTCTAAACTAAAATTTGGTGTGCAAATGCTTGATATAAATCCAACTAAGCCATTTTGCCTCTGTTTTATTTTTATCCTTACGGAACTGTGAATCAGTAATGATTTAAATGTACATGTAATTAGTGTAGAACTGTACCTGTAAATTCATGCAGACGCATGTGAGCATTACAAATGGGCAGCTCTGATAAGCTTTGGAAACGTACAACATAAAGAAGGAACTTATTTTCGAATCATGTCCTGTTCACAGATTCTATTTTGGTCTTGAGTGGCACATTTAGAGAACACAGGCACGATTTGAGCACATGTGCTCACAACATCCCTTTTATCTTTGAACTGCTGTCGAGTGTTCTTTTACTACCAATCACAGTAGTTAATTAGCTGTAAGCACTGCTTTATATATGCGTAATTAAATACTTCATCCTTGTTTTAGTATGTTTTTATTTCTAAAGACCACATGGGCCCCACAGACCTCCCTCTGCCTATACAGTGTTCTGTACACAAAACCTCAATTTTAGGAACAGTCCAGGGAGGAGCATAACATTTAGATCACTTTTGATGCTAAATCTTTCTTTAGACAATTTTAAATGGCCTTTGGCCCCCATCCCATCAAATGGTTTTAGACATTCTTTAATTTCTATATCAAGCTCCATTGAAAACCTGCTTGATTCACCCTGTCTATATCATCTATGTTTCTGCCATAAGTTGAATTTTCAATCTGTTTGATATAAATCTAATTGAGCCATTTTGCCTCTGTTTTATTTTTATCCTTACGGAACTATGAACCAGTATTATTAAAAAGTGAACAAATTATTAAAAAATGGTATTTTTTCTCTAGACAAAGCTGGTTATTGAGATGAGAATATTAACTCACCTCTTAGAATTCAACTTTTACCTCCCAGAGAGCTTCTCCTTAGAACCTCGCCAAGTCAGCAAGACCCTTCATTCTAGTAACATATATGCATATATTAGAAATCGCTCATATGTCTATTTTATTAAATGGTTAAATAACTTGGCAAAATAAGTATATATTGGTGGACAAGCCTGAACAAATGTTGTCCATCACTTTTAATCAGTTCCATTTAACTCTCCTTAGATTGTTTACATGTAAACTTTCACATCCTGAGTCCTTTTGTCCTTCTGCTGTGACATTTCCTGGAGTAAAAGCAGCATGCTGAAGTATATGGAACGATGCCTCCCTCTAGTGGACACAAGGAAAACTTAGCTAAAAGACAGGAAGTAGTCAAAAACATGAAGTCATTTGAGCAAGTATCAGGAGGCATAACATGTTCCAACTGTGAATCACACATCCATTACATGTTTAGACAACTCATCCCTTTTATATAAATGTTTTCATTTTGAAATATTAAAAATGGATTGGTAGCATAGGCAACTTCTCAAATTCTATATCCACCAAAATTCCAACTTTTAAATGGAATCTCGAGACTGGCTACTACACTGGATAGGAAGGCCACTTTCCTGATGTGGCAGAATCATTTGCAGGTGCATCCATGGCCAAGCAGCCCAAATTGAAAGAAGTCAACTGTATCCTCCACCATCTTAATTCTAGGAAAGGAGGAGATGAAATGTACTTTTCTTTTTGTGATATCATGGTTATAACTTCTATATTCATTTATGTTTGTGTCTTGTCATTTAACGGAAAGCCTATTTTCTGATTCTTCTTCTGACTTTAACAAGAAAGAGAAAATGTACTTATATTTGATTACTTCTCTAGTACTTTCAGATATATTTGCATACTGAATCAGTTTCACAATATTCTAAGAAATCTAAATTATTATCAATAAGCAAATATATAGTGGTAAAAACTATTCTAAAAATATTTCTAATTTAAGCCTGATTAATTCCAAATACTCAAATAGCTCCTTAAAACTGCCCATTTTATTTGCACACATTTAAGTGCATTAATACATAAGTAGGCAGTGAAGAGTGTAATATTGGCCACAGCAGCTGGGTTTTGTTACTAGTTGCTGAATTTCATGGCATTGTTGCCACATAAATGAAAGTAAACTGGAGGCCAATTAAAATATAATGCACTGCATGAACCTTATTACCAACTCTTGATTGGATGCTCACCTTCTTTGCTAGATTAGCCACAAAGCATTGGGTGCACAAGTTGTTCCTGGTTTTATGATTTAGCCTAAATGATCCACAGAGAATTCTGTTAGATTGGACAAATGTGTTTTTTTCTCCTTACTTCTCTTCAATAATGATTCCAGAATGGGGTACAACATATTAAGGGAAAAAGACTGCCTCAGTTAAAATACCTTACCTCAGTTAAAATATCCTTCACTTATTTTATAATTCACACCTGTTACATTATAAGAAGCTAATATTATGTCTTTGTTTTTAGATATCTGGATGGGAATCAATTTACACTGGTTCCCAAGGAACTCTCTAACTACAAACATTTAACACTTATGTAAGTAACATCATTTTTCCATCTTTAACTTATTCTATTTTATAAAAGTGGAATGGGTAGAAGATTCAGTGAACCTTTCAGGTAACATAAATTGTTTACAGTTAGCTGCTTCCCTCCTCCTTGATCACTGTGGTCCTGGGTCACTAGCTACATCTTCATTGAATATAAATCAGGAGATAGAATGTCTTGGAAGAATTTTTCCTTCTATTCAAAGAAGCATGAACAAAATAAAATATAAATAGTCAAAATATTATAGAAACAGTAAAACTGAATACTTCTTTTAGTAATGGCTTTTTTATAAGACAAGTTGAAAGAAAGAGAAGTAAAACAATGTCTTTAGTCTTGACTTTGAGCAAAAGATGGTACATAATAACTTAAATGAAAATACATTATAAATTTAGTTTATTAGGTTTAAGTTTCTTATTTAAAGCATTGTAAAGTAAGTTATGGGTTAAAAGTATTAAAATTTAATTTATAAAACCCATATATATTTATGTAAGATTTAAGAAAACTAAACAAAGATACTGAGATTCTAAGAATAAATTTCAAAATATTAAAGTTTTTTAAATTTAGTTTGCTGTCCTCCAAAAGTAATGTCTTTCATTCATTAATGTAAACAATGTTTCTAACTATAATTATAAATGTAAGAAGATATTTAAATATAGAATAATTTTGATCTGGTTATATGCACAATATATTATAATATATACAGTCTTGTATAATGTCACATTTTAGAGTAGTAGCCTTTTTGGTAATGGATAGAGTTTTTTGGAGCACAGAAAAATCAGCAAGAAAGATAATAGTTGTTAATGGAAAAAACCTTATTAGTTCAAGTCTATTTCATTTTCAAGTATAAAAACTAGTTTCAGAGGAAGACTGCTAGTGTTCCTGGAATAAGAAGGTTTATTACTAATTAGTGACTTCTAGGAATCTATAAGAGCAGAAAACATTGCATATCCCAGTGTAGACTTTATCTAGATACATTGAGGTGAGTTAACATGCAGAACATCTCTTTCAGTTTTTTATAAAATATGCAAAATCAAACATTCTAAATGTAGTATAGACTATATCAATGACAAATGGTTAAAGATCAAAGACCATCTTCTAATGTGCCCTGTTCTGTTTCTAGTTATTTATTTGAAAGCAAGAACCAGTTGCATGTGTTTTATTCTGTTTAAAAAAAAAAGTAAACTTGCTTCAATTTCCAAAGGATCACTTTACTAGATTCGGAGCATTTGAGGGACAGCATGTAATTATTTTAAACTAGTTAGAAATGAGAAATAAGATTTATGAACCCAGAAATGGCTTTACCAGTGACTGATTATACAAATATCTTTTGCTAAATTAGATACATTTGTTTTTAAATTTAGGTGTGGTATTTAAGCAGCTGAAAATACTATAAGATTCCTACCATTTTCAAATTATATAAGTCAAATCCAATATCAAAATTTTATTGATACTTATGTATTTTAACAAAGGAAAAGTTTATCCTCCTTTTTTCTGAATCTTCCTTTTTTTATGTTTTGGATTTTGCTTCAGAAAAAAAAATAGTGCATGCACATAATGTTTAGATATATAGTGAATATATAAATAAAGATAAATATGTAACAAGAATAAAATCAAATTCATATAAGTTATGACACATAGTACCAACTATACTTATAAATAGCTATTTATCACTGGTAAAAATTTAGCATCTCTCTTTTACTTATATAATTCATTAAATAAATATTTATTGAGGACTAGTGAGTGACTTAGATAAGAGCAGATGATATTGTGAATGTGATGAAGTTAGGGTCCTTTTAGTTATCAAATTTGAATATCTGTATCAGTGAACATGTGTGAGGATGTAGTATATGTATCTGATGGGACTTTCAAGATCAAAGGTTATTCTTCACCGGTAAGGTACGTCTCTTGTGTGTCACCTCCAAGAAAGCTCTCTGTAGAAGAGAACAGCCCAAGTCTATGGAAACAGTAGCAGAGGAATGTGGGAAAAACTCCTTCTCAAGCTTCTGCTCCAAATGAGACTGGCCATTGTGCTCATGCTTCATTGGCTGACACAAAATATATTCACTACTGATTTGAACAGTACAGGATGAGAATAAATATAAATAACGTTGTAATTTACCCCAGAGAGTAATCCAGTGTTTTATGATTTTCAGATAGTATTAAAATGCTAACAATACTGGTATGACTATTAACAGGCAGAGCCTTGTCTAAGATCAATAATATTTCTATTTTGGTTAATAAGACTCTGTGTCTTTTTTATTTTTTTTTTCCTTTAGAGACTTAAGTAACAACAGAATAAGCACCCTTTCCAATCAAAGCTTCAGCAACATGACCCAGCTTCTCACCCTGTGAGTGTGAAAGTGTGGTACTGTGTATTCATTATGTCATGGGTCAAAAATACATTTACCCAGTGCTGGCCATCCTCGTGAATGGAAAGAATCTCTGTACTCAAGGAATATCAATTTCATTTGGAGAAACAGGCCAAGCCTCAAACAAGAACAAATTTTACAGAAAATGTTGGGGTCTCAGGGAAAAAAAAGAGTAATTTAGCATGCTTGTGGGAGGGTTGTGGGGATCCTTACCACTGGCCTCTGGAATGATCTTAGGGAGATAATGGTTGAGGGAAGGGCAGGCAGAGGGAAGTATTTGAGGTCATGTTAGAGAGACAACACAAAGATAATGTATATCATGTGTAAATATTTTCGATTTATAAGATACTCAAAGAATTAATTTGTTAACTGCTTTATTTAAAATATGACACTGGGGCATTATTGGATTCCTGGATAAAGTAAATAGGCTTATGCATACTTTCAGAATTCTCAGTTACAACCGTCTGAGATGTATTCCTTCACGAACCTTCGATGGATTGAAGTCTCTTAGATTACTGTAAGTATCCTGGCTTCAACAAATACCTCTCTACCCTATGGTCTGAGTTTTGAGCTGTCTTTTTAGTGATTTTTACTGTTTTATTGATACTTGACTATGTCAGGATAGATGCATTAGGATTCACCATAAGTTTGGAAAGAAAAATTTCTATACCTTCAATGGGAACAGCATGACTTTCTCTTTTGTAATACTTGTTGCTACATAGCCATTTGCTTGATAAGAAATAACATTAAAATGGGCATTTTATATAGCTCCAATTAATTTCTGAAGCAATAAACTTATTTTATTTAGAAATCTCATAGTGCATGAATACATTTTTTTACTACAAAAATGTACTTTATATAAAATAAAACATCACTCCCACTCCCCTTCCTCATAATTAACAGTTAAAACAGCTTGAGGTGCCCATCTGGTCTTTCTTTATAAACATTTGTTTTTATGTCTTATTATATTTCTCCCCACAGCTATATAACTTTTAAAAGTCATAAAGAGGATCTTTTCTTGTTCTGCCATTAGCTATTTTTTTTGTAACATGTGCTTTAGAATGTTTCTATTCTATAATACCTAGAGATTACTGGACTGTTTAACTAGTACAGAGTATTCCATAAGTTGAGGAAACATAACTTAGGTAATCATTATCATCTTCACTATCATTTGGTTTAATTGTGAATTTTCATTATTATATACAATACTCTGGTGAACATTCTGTGCATTCACCTTGGTGCGGGCATTGTGGCATTTTAGCAATGACTTAGGATGGGAAGGTACTGTTAAGTAGTTAGAGAGAATATCAAAAGTAACTGTCAAGCTGTCTGCCATGCAAGATTATCTTGATTTACAAATTTATTTTTTCATCAACTGCTTGGTAGAGTACCTTATTCAAAGCACTCTTGCAAACACTGAATACTATTAATCCTTTTATTTTTCTCTATGTGACAGATTGAAAATTGTTTTCCGTTCCTGTTTCAATTTGCATTTCTAATTACTAAAGCATTTGAGTATATTTTGTTTGTTTACTGAGAATTTGTGCTTCTTATTCTAATGAAGCCTGATCATATCATGTTCCCATTTCCCACTAGGTACTTTGTTTTTTCAGTATTAATGTAGATGTCATTATGTACTTACTACTTTGACTGTACTTTTTAGGTCTTTTTATAAAGGAATTAACCTTGCATCTGATAATTTTGCAAATATTTCCCATTCTGTTTTATAAATGGAATATTTTACCTCAGGGATGTATTTTTATATTATAAAAATTTGCTACTCGTTTCCTTTCTGGTTTTGGGTTTATATCATTTTTTTGAAAGCCTTTTCTGTCCCATGATTGTATAATGGAGTGTGCTTTGTTTTAATACATTGTTAGTTTTATTTGTATGTTTAAGTCTTCAATCTGGGATTTATAATGTGTAGAAGATGTAAGGTAGAAACCACCTTTGCTTTTCCAAAAGGATATCCAGTTGCAGGATAATCTGTTTTTTCAACAAGCTAAAATGCTTATTATAAACCAAAGCCTCATACATTCATGGGTCTGAACTTTCTGAAATGTAGGAAATTTAATCTTAATTTCTCTTGCTTTCAGTTCTCTACATGGAAATGACATTTCTGTTGTGCCTGAAGGTGCTTTCAATGATCTTTCAGCATTATCACACTTGTGAGTACCTAGTTCATGAATTTGGGTGAAGGGTCAGACTACCCCTGAGTTTGGAAAAGCCCTCTTACCGCTACTTTTATTGAAACATTGTAAAATGTGACTGGTTTCATCTTTAAAGAAATGTAAAGATTTTCAACCTGGATATGATGCCCACTACAAGACAGCTTTAATTTACCCTTGTTTTTTACCCTAAATTAGTTGAGTTTTCTTTGCTACCTAACGTGTGTTCTACAGACATGGCTCTCTAACACAAGGAGCCTTTTTTCTCTTCCCTTTGCTTTCTGATTCTAGAGTATCAGCTTCCCTTGAACTTGCCCTGGTCCAACCCTACTGTTCTGAGTCACATCCCAAGCATTACATCTTCCAAAAAGCCTTCCCTAGTTTGTCCAAACTGAACTCATTTTTTTACCTATCTTTTAATATGGCATCATGCCAAAAAAAAAAAAAAAGATAAATAAATAAATAAATAAGCCGGCATGGTTTAAACTGACTTTATAGTCAGGTAGTGGTAAATAACCATGTTGATATTGGTTGAAATGTTCTTTGTGCTAACATTCATAACTGCCCATATTTAGGTCCATATTTCTTGAAAGCAGAGTAAAGCAATTAAAATATATGTGATAACTAGGGTTCACAAAACTCACTTGTGTAGAATTCCAGTGTTCTGTTTTTACTGGGTATAATAACTTGACAAACTTAAGAAGTGCAGGGATCACTGCAAGGTTCCAGAAAGTCCTTTGGTGATGTTGAATTTGATATCACCTGGTAAGAGTCAACCTACTCCCACCTAAATATGGATGTCAGTTGGGCCTCAATTCCCTAGAAGTTCGCCTGCCATGTTCCCCCATAGCTTTGCACTTCCCTCTAAATCTCCAAAATTTCAATAAGATAAGAAAGTTAGAAAACGAGGAAAGAGGGATGTTTGGAGAGTAGGATCCAATAGTCAATAATTTTTTTTGCTTTTCTGGGGCTGTTATCAGTGTGAGTTTTTAATCCATCTGTCAGACTGCTCTCTACTGTTCATATTCCTTCCATTGGACTATTAGGTACCAGGAGACAAAACCTCCATTTTTTTTATTTATTTTTTAATCTTTGAGCCCTCAGACCTACCTCAAAGTCAGTATCACAAACTCCATGGCTTCCATCTGCATGAGATATAATGAATGAATCCCTTAGCTCAGGGGCGTAGGATTGCCACCCTGTGTGGCAGAGGGCACATCAAAAAGGGGAAAGTGGACATTGGTGCTGGAGTTAGGGTCATGAATTAAAAATAGCTACACAGGCAGTGTGCTGCTTGGGCTGAGCAGAACCTTGTCTTTGTGTGAGCCTCTCCCTCCCACAGGGAGTGCAGTTTGAGCCTTCTCTGTCATGTGCCCTATCCTCTCTTGTATTTCATTCATGCATTTGTCTTTTATGGCTGAGATGATAAAAAAACCTCTGCTCCATTCCCTTTTCCCACTTCATCTCCTGTCATAGCAAGGATTTGGTGAATGTCAGTGAAAATGAGATGAAGTGGTTCAAAAACATGATTTTGCTCATTTTTAATTTAGAAAGACTTGCATCTGACATACATCTGAAGAAAACAGTTACTATATTCCAATTCTTGCTTAAAGTCGGGCATTAAAATTGCTATAATATAAAAGATGATTTTAAGTATGTTGTAGAGATTCTGACAAAAAGAATAAGATCAAGTATACTTGAACTCCAGACCTAGAAATATCAATAATCAGAAGTTAATTGTAAATCAGAATTAATCAGTTTTTAAATGCTGCTTTATGTATCTTCTACTTGTGACCAAGTTTTGCAAATCTGTGAACAAACCAATTAACTTTTCACTCAGTTTCTTAACCTGTAAAGTAATTCCAATGTTATTGACTTAATAAAAATTACCACTTAAAATAAGATGGTGTAGTTGGTACAGATGGCATAACCCAGCTCCTATAGACAGTATAGTGTAATAAAAAATCAGCTATTATCTTAATTACTTTTCTATCACTACAACTCCTGATGTGAATCAGAACCAAAGTCCTAAAATGAAAGACTTTGTGAAATGACAGATCGTCCAATCCAGCTCTGTTAGACTAGCTTTATGTATCTTGATTATTTCATGCCATTTAGTATCTCTGTGTGTTGACACTTACCCTCACCTGAATTATCCTTCCAACCTTTCCCATCTACTTAACTCCATCTGTCCCAAGTAGGTTAGACTGTCTCAAACCATTAGCTCCCCGCCCCAAAAAATAGTAGTCTCTGTTTGTAGGCTTCTTGAGAATACTTCTACTATAGCAGTGATAAATAATTTTCAAATGAAAATTATTTGTGCCTGACTATTTACTCATCTCCTCAGCACAAGGAGTTCTTTGGAGTTAAGAATGATGCTTTATTCATTCATTCAGTCCTCGGAACCTTTCATAGGGATTTGAGTTCATAGTAAATAATTAGTAAATGCAGGATGCCTTTAGAGTGTACTTATATCCAACATCAACCTTGTCTCTGAAAGTATGAGGAGGCCTTGTGAAGCTCAGGGAAGTGTTAACATTAGTGACAACTCACTAAATCCCCCAGATGCTCATGGTTCAGGAAAATTGGGACTCCCCAATGTCTCCATTTTATTCTAAAGTGTTATTATCAATAAGGCTATTTGGGATTTTCTACTGAGCATCACTTTGAATTCTGTTCCCTTAGGAAATAACAATGCTTCCATACTGTGTGTGTGTGTGTGTGTGCTTTTGTGGTGTTGTTTTTCCAGAGCAATTGGAGCCAACCCTCTTTACTGTGATTGTAACATGCAGTGGCTCTCCGACTGGGTGAAGTCGGAGTATAAGGAACCTGGAATTGCTCGCTGTGCTGGTCCTGGAGAAATGGCAGATAAACTGTTACTCACAACTCCCTCCAAAAAATTTACATGTCAAGGTATGGTTTTTAAATATTTGCACATCTTTTTTTTTAATCACTTTTAATTCAAAAAGAAAAATTCAGCTAGACTTCTAAGTTCTAGCTGATAAGCCCAGTAAATGATGACTTTTTCTATCTCTGTTCTTGGACAAGAAAGAACTGTTACTCAAATGCCCAACTAAAGAACTAGCATTTTCAGATACATTGCGGAAATGACTAAGTTTTCTAGAGGATTTAGATAGAAGCACAATTTCTGGAAATTCCTTTCATAGTCTCTAACAAGTAAAATGTTCTGCTTTTGCCTTGTCTGAGCATGTGCCCTGCTCTTAGGGTTGCCAGGGCCCTGTGGCTTCCTGATACCAGGTAAGAAGAAACCCCTGAAGGGGTCAGCCAAACCTTCTGACCCGCCTCATGTGCCAGACACCCTGTGTGGATGTTCCCATGTCTTGATCCTTTGCATTCCGTTCTTTTCCCTTTGATGTATTTGTGAGTTCCAAATAATGTCTTCATAACAAATATTACTTTATTCCATTATTACAAGAGTAATATGTGAACAAATTCAAATCTAAGTAGGAACACTTTAAACTCTAAATAGAAAACTACAAACAATGAGAAACATTTTATTTCTGTAAACAGAAATAAAATTAACCATTATCACAAGTCTTAGATATATAAATTATATATAAATTTGTTTCATGTATTTTGATTTTTGGCAATCATATATATGAGCTTAGTTTCCTTACCAAAAATGGGATAGCTATTACTCATAAATTGTAGATGTTTTAAGAGGACTGCTTGAAATTATTATATAGAGAATAAAAATTCTTGAAACTTCTAAATCTATAGTCAGCAAACATTGAATAAGTTTGTTTTATGTTTAAAACTAAAGTCTTTTATTGTGAAACATGAAGAAGTTTATGGTATGGTATTCACTTCCAAGTCTTGCAAACCTAGCTGGGAAAATAATTTTTTTAACACTTGAACATTTATGCAGGAAAAGAATGTTTAGGGAGTAAACATTGTGCTGTAAGTAGATAACAGCATGAGTTTGAACCTCAGCCTGATCAGGGGTAAATCCTGGCTTCATTTCCCAACAGTTAGATAACCTTAGTTTAATCACTTAACAAATCTGTGCCTCAGTTTCCTCATGAGTAAGCAAAGATGACAGTATCAACATTAAAAAGTCTTGATAGGATTAAATGTTTTGATATGTTCAGGTCACATGTCTCACTCACAGTAAACACACAATATAGGTTAGTGATGCAACTTTTCAGAACTCCAACAAAAAAAAAATGGTTTATTGATAAAGAAGGAATTTTCAAAAATCACACTCACCTAACATTTTAAAATTAGCATCTAAGGCGTTATTTCATAACTAAATATGTTTGCAAAACCATCATAACTTGCAGAACATTCCAAATGTTAGCATTTTAAAACAAATCTCTTTGGTTGTTCTTTTTAAATGTATTTGGTGGAATGTAAGTGCCACAACTAATTCTAAAAGAAATAAAAGCAAGATAACCATTCACATATTTTATTGTTCTTCTTCCTAGAACTTCTTTTGTTCTCTTTGAATTTCTATTCCAGTACCTCAGAAAATTCTAACACTTTTGTACAATATGATTTGAAGTTTTTAAGTTTCCCACCATCAAAAGTCAATAAATGCTTACATTTTCCTCTGAATTGAATTTTTGTCATTAATACTGGTGCACCATTAATTGAAATGACATAATTATTTATATATGCTTTAATATCATTATTAAAAACAAGGTAAAATCTTATTGCAATGCCTTTTAAGAGGTTAGATGCATTGATTGCAAGAAACTTTACAAGTGACAATGATTTTGAACTGTTTAAATTGTTCTTTTGTAATCCCAGGTGTTTCTTTGTGGCAATGGCCAAGGTTAGTTTCCGGTGAACAGAGACGTATACCATTCTTTGGCAATGTGAGGGAGAAATTACTATTGAAGGTGAAACATGAAATCTTGTTTGGGGGAATATTATGGGGCAGATTACATGGGGAAGTTGAGAAATTGCAACCTAGTTATGTTACACCTCTCTGCTCAGGTGTACCCACATTTCTTTTTGAAGATTGCTGGTGCTTATTCTTTCTTAAGTTTTTAATTCCCTGGAGACGTTTCTGTTGTTCTTTTTGTGGGATGAGTTAGGGGATGTTATAACACAATTTTGAGAAGCTATATACTTATAGTCCACCCTGGAACATTATAGTTTGCATTAATTTATTAAATGACCTCAGAAATTCAGCACATGCTTAATATGTACATGCAAATTTAACTAAAGGTTTATTTAATTTATTTGACCTTTTAATTCTTCATTTCATGACTGTAGCATCTCACATACTTAGTATAGCCTGAATGGAAATAGGCTTGCAGAAGATAAATTCTTATCTGTACTATTCACTGCAACTTTCTGCAGATATGAAAATGTTCTCCATCTGCACTAGCTAGTATGGTAGCCCCCAGCCACATGTGATTATTGAGAAAATTAACATGTGGCTAATTTGGAGAACTGAAGTTTTCATTTCATTTAAGTCTAAACTTAATTATCCACATATGACTCATGGCTACCAAATTATAGTAGTAATTGCTGTAAATGCTCAGAGGAAGAAATCATGGTAATGTCCAGGCTGTAGAAGATTTCATGATGCAAAGATGTCTAAACCAGTAGTTGGGACAGATAGACCATTGTGAGGATGGTGCACCTGGTGGGCAGAACTGCAGGAGCAGAGCTGCATTGTGGGAAAGTTTTGTACCTGTTTCAGTGCCCCCAGGAAACAGAGCTGGGATTTGTTAATTGATAGATAATAGAAAGTCCTAGGTCTCTCAGCTGAACTTTGGCAGATTAGTTTAATATTCACTATATTACCAAATCAATAGATTATGCATATTTGAAGTTATCCATTAAATAGCTAAAAGCATGGATACAGGACAGTTTGCAACAGTGCAAACATTCAAAACAACACATGTCATGCAATTGCATTTAGCAGACAAGAATTTAATTCAATTTTCTATACTTTAATATAATTTTAGAGTGATAGCAAGCACTGAAACTCAGAATGTGTTTTTGCATTTGTCTCAACATTTGTCAAAATATTGTGAAATTTCCTTTTCTTATTATTTCTCTGCTAGTTCAAGAATTATGACAATTTAGACTGGATCTTTGCCAATATTACTACTGCTACCACTACTGATACTAATAATAAATGATCACTTCCTTTCTCAGTTCTTGCATTATGCTGAGCACGTTACCTACATTTTTATCATTTAATCTTGACATTATTCCTATGTGAGAACTGTCATTTTCCCATTTTAGAGAGAAAAATATTGCATGTAGGGTGACTAATAATATGTCAAAATCTGAGTAAAGGAAGACAGACTTTGAACCCTGAATCTCTGACTTCAGAGCATGTTGTTGAAATTTACTTTGTAATTTTCTATAAAAAATATGTTCAGAACAATTTATCAGTGTCAATAAGATTGCTGCCTACTATGGAAACATACTGAGAAAATGAAAATTATGAACTATTCTCAGATGTTTGCTAGAAATATTTACTTATAAGAAATGGGTTAGTAGAACGCAAGGTATTTAAATCTATTAATCAAAATAATTCACTCAAGGATATCTCCTGAGTCCTGTGCTGTTGAACATGCATGCTTTAGAAACTTGAGAGCAATAAAGTGATGTTCCTTTATCTATTTTATAATATAATGTTTTCATATTTTAATTTAATTTTCCCATTGTTAGAGCAGTGTGAATCTTTTTTATTTTATTCATGGAATGCATGTAAGTACAAAATCTCCCAATATTAAGGTTTGTCAGTATATAATTTTAAATTACAGCATAAAGATAATATTCTTTATTTGAAGCCAAGTTTATAAAACTAAATTTTAAAATAGTCATTTTATTCTGCAATAAAAATCTATGCAATTATTTTGAGGAGTTATTTCAATAAGAACTTATTCAGTTTTTCAGAGTACTTTCTTTATTGTACAATGGCTATATTTTTTGATATACAACAAAAATAAGGAACAGAATGAAACAGATGATCAGAGCATATTTAATTAATACCCAGACAAGAACATTCTTGAGTGGAAAATAGGTGGTCATTACCTCTGTATCCCAGATGACCACCTCTTCTCTTCACCTTCAGATGACATTAGAGTGATCGGTCATTCTATAAGAAAATAGAAGTTTTTGTCTCTCCTGATTTTCATTAACAAAATTATCATGCAACTTGAAATTTGCTAATTTCCAATATTCCTGTTAAGACTCCTAGTTTAGGATGATTTAGCTACACTTTAACTAAAAGACTCCAGGTGGTTTTGTTTGTTTGTTTGTTTATTTTTCATTTATAAACACTTCTTGAACACTTAAGCATGCTTAGGAGTGAGCATTCTATTTGAAACTAATGATATATATCTTCATTCATTTAATAAATATTACAGTTCCTACTATATGCCAAACACAGTTCTGAGGTTGTAAGAATACAGCATTATGCAACATAGAATATAAACCTCTATCTTCTTGGAGTTTATATTTTATTAGTATATATGTTAAAGTAGATAATTCTAAAATAATATGGAATTTTGGTGATAGAAATACATATTAGATATTAGTGATATCTACTTGAACTACACAACTATGAAATGGTAGTGACATTGCCGTGTCCATGAAGCCATCAGGACATTGTCACAGGAAGCCAAGTAGAAGTGAAATTAGAAATGGAACAGAGGTGGAGACCCAGGTAGTCAGGTGTCTGATAGCCATGGGATCAAATAAACACACAGAAACGCTGCTAAAAAAATGTAATTACTTCATTTGTAGGAGTCAGCTTGAGTGTCAAGAACCTGGAAACTTTTGAAATCCTAAAATAATTAACATTTTGCCACCCACTGGCTGATCTCTTGTCCTAATTATATACATTAAGAATCCTGTAGATTTGGGAACTCCTAGTAGAAATTTGACCACCCCTCAGCAACAACATTGAAATACTACTA